TCGCTTCCTTCGAGAGAATCATAGAACAGAATTATAGCAACAGTCAAGCAGAGTAGATACAGTCGGGGCCACGAAATAGCGAGGTCGTGAATTAAACTCTCAAGAATCGGCACCGATTAATGTTGCGGCACTCAAGGCCGTGTGTTGCAGTCTGTTCGAGGGTTCCAACAATAAATGAATGGTAGCGTATGATTTGGTATGGAAAATATGTTAATATCTGAAATATTCGTAATTTCTTTCTGTGTCCGCAGCTGCACAACCTTTTTGTGCATTTTGTACATTAAGATGTTAAAGATCTCGGTAAGACCTTTACCTGTAACCCTACTTCCAAAAACAGCTTTCCCCAGAGGGAAGAAACCCTAATTTGTCTTAGCTGTGTGCAGTTTTCGGTAAATATATTAGAATCAGTTTGACTTTCGCTGGATACAAGAATTCTTCGTACGGTCCTGACCACGGTTGCAAGCACTTATCTGCTGGTACTTCTGTCAATTTTCGTGTCCCGGCAGCTAAAACATGTTTACTTTGACGCCTGACTGATTTTACGACCTCGCTATGTCGTCGCCCCGACTAGACAGAGTCAGATAAAACATAGTTAGAGCTGAACTGTGACAGTCATAATTGAGAAAAATCGAGTAACAGTTAGATAACCAAGTTTCACAGCAATAGCCACTGTCCGAACAAAATGGCAATTAGGCTAGAGTCGAAGCCTGTATAATTAGTCTACATTTAAATAAAGTCGAATTAGGCACAAATCGTGTTGCTCGTTCCGGAACTGTAAATTTGGGTGGTCCTTCGACAAGAACGCACAGACGGCACAAGAAGGATGCGATATTCCTGGGACAGCAAGGTAAACACTACCGCTTAAGTCCCCAACAATATTCGGTAGCTATTATCTAAAAGAAAAACCTACAAAGATACCACATAACTACACTGCTTGAGAAAATAATTCTTTTTTTTTATGGTAAGACTGTCAATATGCTGTGTAACTATAGAGAAGAACAAACGAATCGCGGTGACGACGAATTTTCAGAAGGAAAATCTTCCTTGTACCCTATGAAATGGATCACCGTCTACGTTTCTGAATAAATTAAGGCGAAAGCCAGGTCTGATGCGTGCATTATTCAAATGATGGCATTTTTATTCAGATCAATGCGCCGCTATCATAGGAAAAATAAGTACCTGGAACCCATTCGATTCTCGATACGCGCATAATAATGCCGCCATCGCTGCGTTTATGGACAGACGAGGAAATGGCGGAGGAGGATTTATTAGCGGTGCAACTTCATAAACATGGAGATTGCATGGTGTTCTCGGTATCGCGATATCATGCGCATAATATGCAAATACGCGTACTTTATCTCACCGTTGCTGGAATCCAAAGTTGCGCGTTAGAGTTTCGAAAATCATTCTCGAACGATTTTATTGCATCTAAGGTGGAATTAAGACGGCGCGGCGGTGGAATTAAACGCGTTGCCTGAAAACGGGCATTCCGCACAAGGTACTCATTCAATATACTCGCTGGAAGTTCCTTGGTACTTCCTTAAGCAGGAATCTATGGTAGTATGTGTGGGAGCCGATGATCAGCCATCGGTGAGTTTGTAAGATGTTTTTAGGAAGGTTGGTGGAATTTAATTAAAAGTCCTGTACGTATGATTGCTTTTTTTCTTTCTTCTTGGGTGTTTTTAGAGCTGAAAATTCATACCGCAGTGGTAGATACCTTTTCGTGTAGCATGTGTAGTATTGAAGTACAGTATAGTAGTGTGCAACAGTATAGCTGTATGGCGATATAGTGGTCTAGTACAGGGGTCGGCAAACTTTTTCTGGAGGGTCAGATACTAAATATTTTTTGGCTTTGTGGGCCAAGAGAGAAAATTGACATTATTAGGTATGTACTGTCCGACAAACCTAAAGTGAAGCCTCTGACGTCACACAGGGCCTAAAAGTGGGAGATATAGGGGAACTTGCGACGGCTCGCTGTTAGTAAGCCAATAGGAATAGAATAAGGCTATCGCATTTACCCGTCTATGAACAATAGATGACGATCGGGTATCGGTCGAGCAGTCGGTAAACAGGTGAGCAGTCGATAATTGACCGGAATGATATTTTCAAGCGCTCGAAAAAAAATTAAGTTTACGTTGCACAGACACCATAAACAGGCGAACAGATGCCTGCGCGACGCCAAACGACGTGCATCATGGTAAACTTTGTTTTTTTTTTTATCCCATGTTCCAAAAATTTGTCTATTATTTCGATAAACTTATTTTACAGGTTAAAATTCAAGCAATCCAATGGTATTTTTTCCAAATTATTCTACGAGTGGGAACAGTGTCAAATTAGCAATTGAAACTTTAGCAGCGATTATTGCTAATAGTGGCTGTTTGATGGCTTTTATTGGCTGTCGGTCTGCGGTGGCACGCTATTTTTCATTGCAGCCAGAAATTTTTTAGCTCCTTAAGCAATTTTTTAATGCGCCGCAATCTACTTTTATTTTTCAGAAATAGGAAAATATATTTACATTTTAGTATTCTAACTGTTAAAAAATATTAATACATTTCCTGAGGCTTCCTTTACAATAACAATTTATTGTGTATGAGTCGCTTAGAAATGAACGTCTGCGCTATTAAATGTCTTACGCTCCAACGTAGGTAAGAGGACAAAACGACCAAATAATTTTTAGTTTTCCGTTCTTTTATCAGCGTATTACATTATCGACAGCTGACTTAAATTCGTTTGTCTAAACCATTTACCTTCAACGCAACTTCCCCTCAAGGGCCTGCAGTGTAAGACCCAAGAGTAGTGGGAATTACCTGAACCGCCTATTTTGCCTCCATTTTGCTAGGCTGTGACGTCAGAGGCTTCACTTTAGGTTTGTCGGACAGTAGTTTATAAAACAGCGAACACCGCACGACACCACACACAATTTTCCGATCAGTAAGCTTAGGCATTTCGCGCTCTGTTTACGTTCATTCACAAATACATAGTTTTAATAGCAAACTGTTGTGCGTTAATAATCAATCTTCCGAGCACTACCTGAATCCCCTATCCCGAGTACATTTCTTAAATGGTCTGACTCAAAAAGAGGGACAATTATCGGTTTCGCAACAAGCTCACTGCAATTCGTAACACTATATTAACACACTACGATAAAGTGCAAAAAACTCTGTTCCTGAACAATTGTTCATTCCTCTCCCTTATTTACAACCATTAACGCAGAACCCTATATTTTTTTCCTAAAAATTTCAGTCGAACGCCAGTAACGTACTACTATTTTCTCTTCTTTTTCCCAGCGAAATAACGTTACGGAAAAGTCCGCTGACTATTTCATGCTGTAATGTCCGTAACTATTGACCCACAGCCATTATTTGTTTAAAAAAATTGAACCCAACGGAAAAATGGTCGCAGCCAGTACCGCTGGTTTTCCCCGGTGCACTCCGGGATCGCGCACGGACTCCGTTATTCCCGCTTTTAATTAACGAGTAGGTTCGAACTTCGAGCGGAGTGAAAAGATGGGAAAAGGAGAATGCGAATGAACTCGCGCAGAGTCTAAATTCGAGGGAAACGACAGGTCGTATCAAGCGACAGAAAAATCCAGTTACGCGACAAACAACAACCCTCTCCTCCTCCTGCCCCGCTGTTTAGAGGTTGAAATCGTTAAACGAGTTATCGTCCGGGATACGAGCGAACGGATTCAATTTGTAATCCAGCCAGCGGGAGGTCTTTGACGAGGAGTTCGATGCACGGGGCGAAATGGATTCGATGAACGGTAATTATTAATTTAAGAGGGTAGCTTGAAGGTAATGAATTGGAAAATACATTAAAGCTCTTGCTGCGATACTTGCCGCGAAGTGTAGAGGAAAAGTTCTCTGATAAACGTGACAGCGGACGGGGAAGAAGATGATTCCACGGGAAGAAATAATTCAACGTCCTGTATACCCGGTGAAATTTTTTCCACGGCTAACTTCGAAGTTGAAGTTGGAAAGGAAAATTTGCGTCGACAGTTTGAGAATGATTTATTACATAAGAAAAAATTCTCCTCCTATTCAATTCACCGTTAGCGAACGGAAATTAAATTGTACAATGTGTACGGGAAATTGTATAGTAGTACAACTAACGAGGAAATGATTCATGGGAATAAGTTTATTTTCCTCGTTAATTTGTAACTTTGTAATTTATGAGTATCAAGTCGTCTTCCATGAAAATGCGCCGTTTCTTCATTGAAACAGTTTTCAACTGTTTATCATCGCGTATCAAGTTTCATCTTCAAAGATTAATTAATCAGTTTGAAAGTTTGCAAACCACCTCTCCACTGTTCTAACGCCAACAATGTTGTCTCGAAAAACTGCAGACAAGATTTCTGTTGCAACGGTAACGTCTTACTTCCTCTCTCATATTCGTAACATATCTTATCCACTGACATGTTTACCGCTAAACTTTTTGAGCCAATGACAGGCACGCATACTCGGATTATTTTCATACCGGGTGACACATAAGTCGCTTTACAGCTTAAAAATTGACTAACTTTTTCTCTACGCATCGTACATATGTTTCGAAATGTTTCTCGAAGACTTTGATCATTTGTTACAGAAAGCGATTTATGGGTCACCCGGTACGTCTGCTCGAGGCAGTAAAAGTCAGACCAATTGGGAAACGAAAATGTAGCGGAACTTTTCGACATATCTA